GCATTCTGATTCTGAAACACATACAGTTTGCAAAAACACGGTAAGTCATTACGGAAGTGTAAGAAATAAGCGACAACAGAGAAAAATATCAGGGCGCTCCGAGATTCGAATCGAGGTCAGCTATTTTATAATCTTAACGCAACCATGATAAAAAAGTTACGCAACGATATTATAATGATACTTATATTAAGAGTTACAGAATAGTCCTGCTGGTCTCCTCTATAATAGTAAACTTCCATCCTGCCAGGATTTGAGCTACACAGCCCTGATGCTGGTGGTTTCTCTGTTTTGCTTATTTCCTCTAAATTTTTTTACAAAAGTATAAAATATTTTTTAACAAATATTAAAATTACAAATATTAGAATAAAAAAAAGTAGTAACTAACATGCGAATATATATTATAGTAAATAAACGAATATTGCTTAAAAATTATTGATGTTTAAATTGTATTAGTTTTATATACTTCTATCTAATAAAGTACTTTTGTAAATCATTTGTTGCATATTTTTCATAAAATAGTCTTAAATTAACACAACGTTTAATAATAGCTTTTATCAATCGTATTTTATTTTTTACAATATTCTGTGACAATATATGTTGTGACATTTCATCTTCTAGAAATACATCAAAGCAAACTATGTTAAAAATTTTTAAATATAAATATTCTTTTTTATGGCTTTGGAAAATGAAATCTTTATATTGCCTAATAATGTTTTCACATGTACTTGTTACTTTTATTACATCTCTTGAAAGATATATGAAAGATATACTAAGTTTCCTCTATTTTTTAATGTTATTAATTTTGAGATATTTTCATTACATGTGAGAAAAGATGCACAAATGTGACACATACTTTTCCTTTTCATTAATTTTTTCATGATGAAATTGCTTATATATACGAGATATAAATAAATGGACTCAGTTTTTTCCACATTTTTGAGACATGCTCAAATGTCTCGACTGATAATGTATATTTTATCATCATTTTCAATAAATAACGATTCCGTCTGATTATTTTTTGTTGAAACGAACAATATTTGTACATCATTTATTAAATAATTTCCTTGTTCGGAAATAAATTTCATGACGCACTAATAAACGCTTATAAGTATTCTCAAATTGTTGCGCATTTGGATTATTATTAAATCCTTTACTTCTTAAAGCGCTAAAGAATGTTTCGATATGGTCTTGGCTTAGCTTGTATGTTGACAAATTTTTTGTTTTCAATACATCAACCAAATTAAATATATTTTATAAAGATAAATCTTAAAATGCCAGTTTTCTAAAATGTTAACATTGTTAATATCTTTTATAGTAGTGATATAATTTATGATGTTATATGCAAGACTTTTCAATTTTATAAAATTTTCAATGCAAAGAGCTGCTTTATGTTGAAAAATTTATTATGGATATTTAATATATATCAAAAGCATTAAAAATTTCGCAAAAATAAGCTGTGTACTGATCGAGGTGCTTGAAAATCTTTCACATCACATTGCTCAACATATTTAAGAGCATTACTGACATTATTATTTAAAACTTGAACAGCTAATTAGACATTCATTATATTATTGCGATAAAATATGTTTTTTTGTAATTTTTATTGCTGCTCTTAATTTTTCCTTTTCTTGTGATGAAGTAATGCGATGTTTCTCCAATGTACAAACTGCTCTTGAACTTTAAGAATTTCTTTCTAGCAAACGAGAATGGATTGAAATGAATTAAAATGGAGTCAGATATTAAAAATATTCACGAATGTTAAAATGAATGCTTTTCAATCCTGAATGCATTTTTATTCATTTATAGGAATTCCATCATGGAGCATATCTCTATTCAATCTAACAATAATATTAGCTTTTTCTGTGCATTGTGAATACTGTTCAATTCAAAATTTTGAATAGAAAATGCAGTTTTTCAATCCAATCGCATTCAATTGGATGCTATTTCAATTGGATTGAATCTAATTGAATTTAATTAATCCAATTAAATCTAAAAAAAAGTATTCGCTGTTTGAAATATACATTTGGATAGAAAAACATTTCAATCCATTTTAATCCATTCTCATTTGCTAGGTTATCTCCTAAAGTGTTTCTTATTAATTTGATCATGTGAGAAGGATCAAATATACAAAATACTTTTTCGTTAGTTACAGGATGCATAATATATGAAATAATTGAAAATGTGGACAATGTCGAAATTAGCACCTAGACATTTACACATTTTTAAATTAACGATTGCATCATCAAATGTAAAAGAACATGTGTACCTGCTTCGTACATTAATTATAAATATGTTTTCATCAAATTAGCTCTTTCTGGTGCACTTAAAGACTATATGAAAAAATAACCACTAGGTATTTTCCAATGTCCATTTAAACAGCCAGGAAAACTAAAGCATTTTTGGCATAAAGTAACTTTTTTGTACTTGTTCTGTTAATATCTAAAGTAATGAGTCCATAATGTCTGATATCGTCATATGTCACTTGCTGTATTGCCATTTCATTAATTACTATATTGCAAATAATAGATTCTTCACTATTCTTCACTTTAGATTTTAGCGTCGAAAGCTTCTTTAGTGAATTCTGGTTTACCATCTATTACAAAATACCATTTTCTCATTGTTCTTGGATGTAGTAACAAATTAAAAAAAAAATTGGTACGGATATAATCATATGCTTTTGAAGAATAAAAATGTAATGTTAATGCAAATCGTCCAATAACTCGAAAAATATTTCTGTTTATTTGTCCTTCATTTCATTATTTTTTGTATGGAATAGGATATTTAATAAATTGAAGAAAAATAGAATGCTATGATAAACCAATAAAGAAAAATTAAATATAACAAACAAATAATTAAATAATATTATTAAATATATACAATAAAAAAAACAATAACAATAACATAAAAATATCAATAACATATCCGCAGCATTTTTAGAGATTGAATCTTTTCTTCTTAATTGTATCAATGAATATTTTTTTCTTATATCTATCAGACACTTTTTGCAGTACTAATAAAACTGTAATTCTTTTTCTCTGTTCTATTATCTGAATCATTGTTTTTTCTAACACGTTTTTAGCTCTTCTAAGAATGGCTAAATGAGATGTATCAATATCTCCAATATCAATATCTTATTTTTAGAGTAGCTTCTGATATTTTATCTGAAATTATTAATATTTGAAATTATTAATAAAATTCTTAATATTATCTTTGATTGGTAATATTTATCTGATCTTATTAATAATGAATAAATAATAACATTGTATCATATATTATCTAATTTTATAGATCAAACATGGAATATCAATAAAGTTAGATTTAAAGTTAAATTTATCTTCAACCATTTTAGGATAAATATTTTCTATAACATTATTCTGTACTGATAGAATGCCATCCGATTTCATTATTTGATTCTAAATGTAATACCGGTTCTAAATATAATACATATTGATAAATATATACAGATAACATGTAATGTATACAGATTACATTTGATTTGAGAAAATAAGAATAGAACTAAATTTACCTTCAGTTTATAAGAGAAATAATTTCTTCATTATTATTCATTTCTGATATAGCGTCTATTTTATTATTATCCAAAATCTTAATGTATAAATCTTAATAGGAATTATTTTATTTTAGAATTAGATTTATAATTATATTACAATATTTGTAATATAAAAGTATTTGTAACTTACCTTACTAACATCATACATTTTTTTTTCAATAATTTCAAGTTTGTATTATTAGCATTATTTGAATCAGTTATTTCTTGGTACAATCTGAAATTGCAATTGCGTATGTTGAAATTTTATGTTTTTAAATAATATTTATAAGATAAAATAATATTTATAAAGCAATATAAAAGCAGTTTTTATGAATTCTATAAAATATCTCTTTCGGCACTTGTTTGACATAGTACTGCATTTTTTTAAAATTAACTTGTTGTCTTCCATTACATAAAAAAATCTTCTTTAAAATTATTTTTTATTTTACAATTTTATTACAAATCACAGTAACAGTTTTTTTTTTTCATCCATTGGGCAAAAATTTAGATCTCTAATCTTTAGGAAATCTAAACATATAATTAGGAAATTTAGGAAATCTAACATATATTGTGTGCGAAACATATAATAAATTTTTAAATTATTTTAATGTTGATTGTAACTATATACTTAAAATACACACACATATTTTATATATTTATATAATTTAAATTAATTCAATATGTAACCTTAAAGATTGGCTTAAAATTATCTTCAAAGTAGGCTATTTACTTATGAAGAAATATTTTGTTTTGCTTTGTTGATATTTTGAGACATACGCAATAGCGTTCCATTTTTTAAATAATTTGATATTTTTTCGAAATCGCGAACTTTGAACGTTTATACATGTGACGTATGTCACATGTATATATTTCGATGCAGATGCATTATAGTGCAGTGTTTAGATAAGGATGTTGCAGCATTTTTGGTCGCCTATGGCCTTTCCAGTATGTATGTTCTAAGGTATACATAGATTGCGTTTAGCAGAGAAAATTAATCAGTTTGCACTTAGTGATTTTTTTAATATGATTGGTTCTTATCTTTAGTTAAATCTCTTCGTTAAATCTAAATATATCTGATAAACGCAGTCATAGAGCTGTCGGGATGACAGATGTCTTAAGTATATCTAATGTCGAATTTCAATGCTTAACTCGATTTACAAGATCGACTGTCGCGTTTTTCTGCTTTTAAAGCAGTGAATTTGTGTTTATAAAGTAGTGAATTTGTGTAATTAAAGCTGAACGTATACATAAGCTTTGCGCACAATAGAGGAAATATTAGGAATAGGAAAAAATATTGAGATTTCAACCTACCAGAAACTGCATATTCCGACTGTAACTGGTAATCTGATAGATTGAAATCTTTTGAAATAAATATTTATTTCTTAATATTTGTTCTATTATGCGCAGGCCCTAACGTATCGCGAATCGAGATGACAGATACCTTAACCTTTAAAGTCTCGAATTTTAGTGCTTAATAACTTGATTCATAAGGCTGATCGCAGCGTTTTTCTGCCAGATTCTTTCGTTTTAAGTGAATATGCATCGAATGAGTACATTTTTATTAAGATTTTAGAGAAAGGTATTTTAAATAATTACTAAAAAGTTTTGTATTATCAGATATTATCAGGTTATCAAAAATATTATTTTATATATAAATTTATTCAGAATATCGTTGACAATTATTAATAATTTTTTGGTAAATGATTCCGAACTTTGTTTTGACAATCTAACATTATAGTTTGTTATTAATAGTTACAATATATATTTTTTTCCTGTTGTATCAAAATTTCAGTTTACAAATTAAAAACTTTTGTTCACAATGGCTGGAAATTGCAAGAGAGTAGTATTATGTAAGGGATTATCTGAAAAGAGCAATCAGGAAACATATAGCAAGATATTGGAATCAGCTGGTTATAATTGCGAATATTTACAAACTTTGAAATTCGAATTTGTGAATATTTCGGATCTGCGAGCTTGTTTGTTAGTAGCTGACAAATATAGTGGTAATACATCTTATTATTTTCAACATAATTATATTACATAATTGTTATTATATTATATAATTATTATAACTAATATTATATCTATCTTTCACCTTAATTAATTATAGGTTTAATATTAACTAGTCCTCGTACAGTTGAAGCTATTGTATTGGCAGTAAAAGAAGATACTAATATTCTATATCATTGGGAACAGATGCCAACGTACTGCGTGGGACCTGTGACGGAGTCTCTCGCAAGAAATCGACTTAATTTACAACATTGTGTAGGCAGTCAGTCTGGTAATTCAAAGCAACTGGCTGAAAAAATTATTCTTGATATAAAGAAAGATTCCAAACTATTATTGTATCCATGCAGTGAAATTGCACGTGAAACTATCTCTTGTACTGTTAGAGATAGTGGAATTTCAATAAAAAAGATCATAGTTTATAAAACATTAGAGAGCGAAACTCTTGAACAAGAATTACCAAAAATGCTCGAGAGATCTAATATATTTGTTTTTTTCAGTCCATCTACAGTTGAACATATTACAGCGCAACTTAAGAGAAATTTCTATAATGTCAAAGATATAAAAGCAGTAGCTATAGGACCTGTAACAAAAGATGCATTAATTGATTCTGGTTTCAATGTATATGCCACTGCGAATAAACCTGAACCAGCAGCTTTGATGCAAGCGATCACAGCTGCTGATTCTATCTAGAAAATATAAAAAAGAAAATTTAAAAAAGAATAATTTATGACATGATGTCTTTTGAGTTGTTTGTAATAGATTGATCATGAAAAGGCAAATTAAAATAGTATGCAGTTTATACACAATACAATATGTATTTGTAAATTTGTATATAAGTATTATCAAGCCTCAAGATCTGTTTCAACTGAATGAAATTCTCTCTTTAATTTAAATAAGAATGCTCGAAGAAAATATTATGTACTGGCATATATATTATGAATTTATCAACATTTCTTAAATATTTTGATATTGCAATACATATATTAGGTGTGGGAAAAAGTTCGTAGCATTTTTCTCATTAAAAAACGCCACGAACTTTTTTCCATATCTAATATTTGTTTAATATATAAATATTTTCTCAAATTATTTCACAATAAGAGGAATCTTTCTTTCTTCAGTTCATGAAAGTTTGTTAACAATAATTATAATGTACATACAATATATATTTTAGAGAGCTATAAAAGCAAACGTGTGTAAGCGTGTGCGTGTATGTGTATTATATATATAAATATATCTTACAATTGTAATTTTGATTGTTATTTAGGTATTTTATTATATTATATTGTTTTATTCAGAAAAATAATGTACAATTTTGATAAAAGCGCTGTTTGTAAATTTGTGCATACACATTTGTTATATTGTTAATAATTTTATTGTATATATATTTATAAAAATAAAACATAATATTTGAAATGAAATAATACATTTAATATATTTAATATAGTTTATAAATATTTTATTTGCAATATGAATTTTTTTTATATATAATATATATAATCTCTTTTGCATGTTCAAATTTTTATATTTTTATATTATCACAAATATTTCAGTAGAACTTTATCAGGTATCTTATTAAATTTAATATCTATTGCGGTTTACACCTAACAGGCACGAAATATCTGAACCAACTATTGCGGACTGATTCGCATAATAAGGCTGAGAAGCGTTTCCACTATTATATTTCATTTGGACTGCCGTTTCGTAATCGGGTGCCGGTCTATATGATGGTAATAGCGCACGCAAACTATTTATATCGGTTGATGAAATGGATACAACAGGACACGGTGATGGTATTGAAAGATCATTGTAACTTGTCCACCGTGTATGTGTGTCCGAGGTCCTGTTATCCGAATTCACGGATACTGCTTGCTCACTAGAATCGTTTGTATCATTATCCTGTAACAATATATTAATATTATTATTGTTGTAATTGTGCCTACAATTATATAAAATTCTGTACGCATTCAATGTAACGCGATTTTAATATAATTAAACAAATGTTAATTTACGCACACAGCAACCACTAGATCTTTCTTGTGGACGGCGTTCTTGATACTGTATATAGAATAAATGTTGGGCTATACATAATCTCCATATGTATTTTGCATCGCGTGACTCAGTAAATACAAATTGCTTTGCTTCTTCACATTTGCACTCTATTCTAAACGTTTTCTTTTGATTTATGACATTACTGATATCTTTCCATCTGCAAATCGTAAATTATTTATTTAATATGCTGTAATAATCTTGATCAAAAAGTTCCCGGAATTATCACCAGGTGATGTTCTGAGTCAGCTGATTTGAGTTGTTTTTTTTTGGTTAGGTTGCCACATCTATCATTGACATTCCCACCAAATTTTATCACCATAGCTTGACATTTGTAAAAGTTACGCCGTACATCTTCTTGAGTACATCTACCTCTACATTTTCGATTTTTTACAGTTTTAAAAATGGAGTTGAATTTGCAACAACGAATGAATTTTTGACTAAGAACGAAACGAATACCATCCAACAGCCATCGAATTCACCTGATATGGCTCCCTGCGATTTTTTCTGTTCGATCGAGTCAAAAAATTACGCGTTTTAACAGCTGAAAGGAGGTAATGGAAAAATCAAAGATGCTCTGATAGTTATACCGACAATAGAGTTCCAGAAATGTTTCGAGAGCTGGATCAAGTGTTAGCATAAGTGCGTTGCAGTCGATGGGGAGTATTTTGAAGGGGACAATATCACTTTTGATGAATAAAACTTGTATTTTGAATTTTCTGAATGAATTCCGGGAACTTTTTAATCTAGGTAGGTAATTTAGTGAGTATAAAAAGTCCTTTTAAGTTGAATTTTTTGCACTATTTGTCTTCTCTTTTTTTTCCAACGTGGAAAGAAAAAGAGAAAAGATGAATATGCAAGAAATTCAGCTGAAAAGAACAGACCTAAAGTCATATATATAAAATAAAAAGTAAATTAACCTATAAAATTGCGTTGTTTGAGTATTAGGATAGGCCACCATAATTCCATTGATAGAAATTCCAAGTATAACTTTGTTGTTAATGTTATCCTGAAATATTCCATAATTGTAGCATGTATTTGAAGCAATAAAAATTAATTAATTTACGCGCTATTTATACCTTGGCAGGAAAAGTTTCAGTACCATATCCCTCTAGTTGCATGGCAATCGAGATATATAATTCTTCTGCAGTAGCTTGTGTCATATTGGCAAAACTTTTATATTGACATATTGCTGTGTATAAAAGAGATTCTTGTCCATTTGGATCTGTTTTGTTTACACCCTAAAGAGAAATTTAAACAGAACCCGGATTTATATGACATTTGCAATTAGAATAATTTAATTATGAAAATTGATGTTACGTTTGGGAAGAAAGTGCATTGTTGGAGATACTCGATTGTGTGTCTCTCTGGACTATAATTTCCAAACTCAGCTTGCATAGAATAACTTGCCAACACACAAGCCTGTCTGTAATTACAATGTACTTTGTTTTCTAGCACATCATTCTTCAATTGAAGATAATAATGATATCTGTGGAAGGGAAAAGAGAAGAAACATGTAAAATTATATTTTTTAAGAAACTTATAGGTCTGTTATTTTTAATTTTTTGTATATCATATTTATCATATTTTCTTTTTTCTTCTTCAATTTGAAGAGGAAACAAGAAAAGATAAATTGTGCGAGTTAAAAAGAACAGATCTTATATCACTTAAGCGAATTAAGTTAACCTTGTCATCTCATCTTGAATGAGTTGTACGTCCACTATATAATACATAACTCTTAAGTAAAGCGTAAAGCTTTTAGCATCTTTTTCAAGCTGTCTCTTTAAAGGTTTGTCCATATCAATCCATCGAAGTGATGATGTACTGCGGCAAACATAGCGTAGGCTAAAAAATTCTGGTTGCCCTAATCCCAAACGTTGCATCACATTGTCTAGACACTCCTGGCCAACGCTGTCGATGCTGAGAGTGCATTCTATAGAAGTGGCATCTAACAATTCGACACAGATTACATACTGATTCTTGGACACGACATTATATTGTCTGCTCTTTTTCAAATGGAACTTGAACGGCATTTTGACAGCCGCAAAGTAACTAAAAAAATAAATACATATATGTAACCTTGATTATAAATCTAAGGGAAATTCAAAGTGTCACAAAAGTCTTTTTATAACTTTTTTTATAACGATTTTGTGTAATTGAACTAGTACTTGGAATATAAAATGGAATAAATATATTTGATATTTTTTAGTAAAAGAGAGAAAGAAAATCCAGAAAGTCTAATATAATCTAAATAAAGAAAGGAATAAAGAAAGACCTAATGTATCCTAATAAATACGAACTAACACATACATCAATATTATAATTTTCCATTTAACAATAGATGTAATGTAATACACTGTTATCCAGATAGCAAAACATGTCACAGCAAAATCGTACAAATCTATGATTGCTTATGATAACAAATCTATGATTGCTGCTAATTTGCCATAGATTTATCTTCAACGATTTCTCTAATGTGGAAAGAAAAGGAAGAAAGATGAACTGTACAAGAACTTTAGTTAAAATGAACAGATCTTATGTGTATATGTATTGCCAGTATTTTAACAGCGAGATAGCTATGTCAATGTTATCTTGCGTTATTGGCAATATGACAGCATTGTATGATGTTGCATATTATGACAACATGTCGGCAACAGTATGAATTTTGATGGGGACAATTTTAAAGTTGTCAGCAAATTGCTAGCAAGTTGCACCTCAATGTTATCATAAATGCATCAAGTTGCTAATAAATGAAGACTTAGTTGTTGCAATTCTGGTAGCAACACATAGCAGTGCATTAATAAGTAACTTGGTTATAAATAAAATAGACATGTTGTTATCTGGATACATTGATGATTAGGAAATTATAACATTAATGCAATTATAATATTAAATACTGTTAGTTTGTGTTCAACAGAATAATGATAGAACAAAATAATGAGATAGATTATAGATTAAGAAATTCTACTTACAATTATATCAAATATCATTCACGTTATAAAGTGACATTACGATCTCGATTTACGAGAAACGTCGCAGTATAAATTGGCGATATAACAAGTCAAGAGATATATTGATATATATTTTAAGCGATGCGCACATACGCGAACTCCTTTAATGTCTTAAAATATCGTATACACTCATCATTCACTTTCTTGTGTAAACACTGTAAACAGTGTACACATTCGCTTAGTGGGCACATTACCCATCCAAGATAGATGTATATTTTGGCAATTCGAGACTCCGTTATCAGTAGCCATATCAATTAGCTGATCAAACAACAAGCATTGAATTCCTTTTAAAATATCGCTCGATATTGCGATCTACTTTCCAAGTTTTCACAGTTTCTGCTCTTTCGAAGTAATTCGATCCATCAACGAGATAAACTATATATTACTGACAATACTGAACAAAACTATTGCTTACTATCGGTGTAAGTGCATTCAGGGAGTCGCTACTATTGTCTCATTCTAGCTTCATCATTTATTAGACATAAAACAAGGACAGAAAATCTCGGTGCGAGAGCATGTGAGAGTATCGATACTTCATTTGGCTGCGACGAATATCGATGCTGATATATCGAGAGGTCAAAAGAGAGAGAAAAAGAGAGAGGGGCATCGATATTCACCCGTCGAAATACTCCGGAGTCAATGGCCATCGCTGCCGGCTACAGCTGGTTGTAAGCTGGCGGAGCGATTCGAAAGCGATGACGATCGTTGCATGCGTCGAGGCGACGGGCCGCAGTCAATAATGAGAAAACGAGATTTACGGGATATCGCTGCATCAGATCTGTACACGCGCCTGCCTGCACGCATCAACGCTGTGTCACACGCCCACTGAATGCTGATAAGGGGCCGCGGTTAGATCCCTGCAGCTCCCACGTCGCTGGACCCCTGCTTAGTATCACATCAGTCACATGTGCTACGAAAATGAGCATCCTGCGAAAGAGGTAAGCGAAATACCTGCGCGAAATTTTGTTCCCCAATTCGATTTGTTTCATGTGTCTGTTTATCTGTATTTGTTTACAGATTGAGCGAGTTTGACGATGTTCTCGATGCAGATGAGATAGATACGGTCAGCCTTAGTAAAATATGTTTTCATGGTACGTCTGTCACTCTATATACAACTGATAGCGAATTCGGTTATTTGTACTATTACATTAGTGCATATTAAAAGCTGCAGTAGATGATGAATTAGTAAAGTTACATGTAAAAGTATATAAATATTTTAAATGATAAAATATCCAATAATGATATTGTCATTATTTAACAGACCATACATGTATTATTTGATCGTTAAATTTGTTTGATTATATTTATTGCATTTAGATATTTTATATAAGCCTAAAGATCCAAATAGCAAAATGTTAGCAGAATGTCGAGACTGATAGCAGATTTGATCAGAAGATGTTAGCAGACTGATCATAATTGATGTTGCATTCTGCTCCTGTTCTGCTGACAGAATCTGTTAACATTCTATGCAAATAGACTGGTAGCAGAATTCAAATATAACCTGCTATAGGACCTGCTAATAGAATCTGATAGCAGATTGCAAGCAAAAACTGAGCAGAGCTTGCTGACATAACTTTATAGCAGAAACCGAACAAGGTCTATCATTTTCATTTAAATCGACTTGGTTTCTTAGAAAGAGATTTTGCAAGAAATTTTGCTTACATATATATAAATGGTTATATATAATTATACATATAATTATATATTTACATATGTATACTGGTGTGAAAACTGGAAATAATCAATATAGTTTTATTGCTAAAATATTGATTAGCTTCATATTTCAAAATACACATGAAAAAATTATAAAATAGTAAAAAAAAATATTCAGAGTTTCAGAAAGCACATTCTAAAAGAGCTTGGGAATCTTTAAAAGATTTGCCTTCGATTTACATACATCAATTCTTACAGGACTCCGAGATGTTTTCTTTTTACGAGAAGCAAATCCATCTCATGGCGAGGCTATATATGAAAATGGCAGATCTTGTTCATAATCTGTTATCAAGTTATGCAGCAGACTTTATTCGGTTTCTGTCATCAATTTGCTAGCATAGCATGTCAGCAGGCTTTATCATTTTTGACAGCAGTTTGCTGACATTGTTTGATAGTACAAACTGTGTATAATTTGTTGCCTTTCTGCAATCAAAAATTGGTAGTAGACTCTGCTCAAAATCTGTCTGCAGGTTTGACTATCGGGAGAATTATAGTGAATTTGATCATTTACACTCCATTGAATTAATACATAGTAAAGGCTGTTTTATGACCTTACATCATGTACTTGATATGGGTATTAATTAATAATTTTTTATTAAATTATTTTAATTTTGACAATACGTGTAATACATGATGTGTATTTAAGTAATCATTTTGATGCATATTGTATCAATTTAGTACATCATTCTTTAAATACATTGCTGAAATTAAAATAATTTAATAGAAAATTATTAGTTAGTACGTATATCAAGTGCACGATGTAAACTAGGCCATAAAGCAACTTTTAGTATGTATTAATTCAATGGAAAAGGATCAAAATATCTTTTTAGGTCTGTTTCTTTTGAGCTAAACTTCTTGTATGATTCGTCTTTTTTCTTTTTCTCTCCATATTAAAGAAAAAAAACAATGAACTATATAAAGCTCACTTTCACTAATGTAGGATTAAATCTCGATTTAATTATTCAATTCCAAGAATTAAGAAAAGATAAACATTAAGTTAAGATCAAGATTATAATTAATCATATATTGATGATAAATCATTAGTTGGGGAAGTTTAAGAAATTCAGCCAAAAAGAATTTGTTTGCCACAAGCCTTTTGTTTTGTTTATTGCAGATATAATAATAATAATATGTTTATGCCTTGCATTAATCATCTTAATCATTTTAATACTAATCTGATAATACTGATATTAATAACCTAATGATAATGATCTAATATTAATACTAATAATCTAATAATAATAATCCTCTTGCATTCTTTCTTATATCTCAGGCATACCTGACGAGCCCGGTGGGCTGAGGCCTTTATGTTGGAAACTGCTATTGAATTATTTGCCACCGATAAAGTCTAATTGGATAGAGACTTTAAAACGTAAAAGAGAGTTGTACAATACTTTCATTGGTGAGAAGTTATTTTTTGTATCATTTATTAACCCTTTATTATTTGTGTGAAGGATGTTCCAATTTCATAAATTAAATATTCATAAAGAATGTATAGAATAATGTTAATTTTTATTTATAAATTACCAAAAAGAAACAATGGAAATTAAAATATAAAATATTGGAATGTCAGAAATATTACACGCAAATAATTAATGTTAAAAAAAACCTCATGGAAATTTATGTATAATGTTTTTTATAATTTGAATTTGATGGTTTCAGAGGATCTCATTGTTATGCCTGGAGAATCAAATACCGATGACAAAGAACGAGTCGATGTAACGTTACATGATCATCCTCTCAATTTAAATCCAGATAGTAAGTGGCAAACATACTTTAAAGATAATGAAGTTCTACTTCAGATTGATAAAGATGTTAGGTAAGAGTCTTATTGTATAAATATTCTGACAGCTTTTTTCCCAAAGCATTAATAAAAACACAGAGAATCAGAAAAATAAATTTTACGTGTACAGGCGATTATGTCCAGACATATCATTTTTTCAACAAGGCACTGATTATCCATGTCAAAAGATAGTGAATGCTAACGGTCAGCGTTTACATCACAGAGTTCAACACACAGTACTGAAAAGCGCAAACGTTGAGAGAAAGGGCTTAGGAGTAACAAAGGTAAAAAACTACAATGATTAAAGCTTCCATCACTAATTTTTTTGTTAAATTTATTAATAGATTTTACTTATCTTTGCCCTTACGTTGACGTGGAAAGCAGCAGGTATTATAAACGATGCAAGTAGAGTAATAAATTCTACCTAAGATAACTTTAAAAATAATCTTTATATTTTTATATCTTGTGTATTATATAGGCCGATATTCATAGTCAGATCTTATATTCGAGATCGTCTTAAGTACGGTCTTAGAAATATAGTCACGAACCAATCAGAAAGCCATATTAGCGTCTTAAGATTAAAATCCGATCGAAACCACATTTTAACTTCGGGCCGAAACCGAAAACAAATATTTGGTTGTTCAATTTCGGCGAAATCAAAATCGCAATTTAGATACGTCTTACTAAAAAAAAAAGAAGGAGAAAAGCTAACGGAGTTACATTTTTTTCAGAAATCATGACAAATTTATATACTCTTTAAAAAACAAGATTTTATTAAAATATCTAACTATATAATAATATAATAATATTACATCCTCAATTTTTAAAGAAATCAAATCACAGTTATTATTAGGATTACATCAAAGTTTATATTTAAATTATCTCAAGTTTAATCAACAAGTTAATAATTAAAATCGAAGTTGTTTTTTTGGACGCTCACTGACGCGTTGCAACTTATATAATTTCGATTAATCTACCGAAATTTTTTCTTAATTTCAAAACGAAACCCTGATTTTTTATCGAAAACAAAACCGAAATTTCAGTTGGACTCTACTTAAGACATTACTTAAGATAGTTTCGAAATAAGAACTGACTATGAATACCGCCTATAAACAGAAAAGATAATTTCATAACATCCTGCAGATACGACTCATGTTACTACTATATTATATTATTATTTTATCTATTAGATAGCGGTTTCTGTCAGAAAGGCTACGGAAGATTACGCGCCATTATCTGAAGGTGGTGAAGCACACTGGGAAGTTTTGGAAAGAATACTCTTTTTATACGCTAAATTGAATCCTGGCCAAGGTTACGTACAGGGAATGAATGAAATAGTTGGACCTATATATCACGCATTTGCTTGTGATCCAGATCCCACATGGAGAAGTATATATTATATGAAAGCAATTGAAATGCATAAATGACATCTGCTGATTGCGATATCTATATATCTATTTTATTATGTTTCGTAGAACACGCTGAGGCAGATACTTTTTTCTGTTTTACTAATCTGATGGCTGAAATACGTGATTTTTTTATAAAGACGTTGGATGAAGCTGAATTTGGAATTAATTCGATGATGAGTAAATTGACCAATCAAGTTAGAGCCAATGATCCTGATATTTGGTTGCGTTTACATCAGCAAGAGCTATGCCCGCAATATTACAGCTTTAGGTAATACTATAGCAATCGATGATTATTATCATTATCGTCATGCTTATAATTCTCATTGCTGACTCTCTCTCTAATTCTCATCTTTTCCTGTGCTTGGAATAAGATGGTTGACACTCCTTCTTTCGCAAGAATTTCCTCTGCCGGATGTTATGAGGATATGGGATTCCTTGTTTGCTGATGAGAATAGATTCAGTTTCCTCATACATATCTGCTGTGCTATGATCCTGTAAGTAAATAAATTTTATAATATCTTTGGCAATAATTTTCGTTCTTTTAGCATATGTGTACGTATTTTTAGATTACTCAGGGACCAGTTACTGGCCGGCGATTTTGCTACAAATGTTAAACTCCTGCAGGTGAGAGATATAAATATATTTTATTAATTTATATGTGCATTTATATTTTCTATTATTATTACCAGAACTAATTTATTACCTAGTAAGGTGGGCATGTCAAAAATAATAATGTTCTATATCTAGAATTTTCCCTCGATGGACATCCAGATTGTGCTCTCTAAAGCCGCTGCCCTGGCAGGCAAGACTTTATAATTTTCGTAATTAATTAAGAACAATAGCGGACAAGATGCAATAATTTCTCGATATGTCAAATATCATGATTTTCTTCCTCTCCTTTTCCTGAATTGTTACAACTACATGTGCGTGATATATCGTAAAGTGTAATTTTATATACCATCGTCATTCCCGAGAGGAAAGAAATGCAATGAAATATCAATTATAATATAATATCATATAGATGTTCAAGTTGATAGCCAATCTTATATCAAATATTTAACAGCTGTATATATGATACTCTTATACGAATATTGAATCTATATACAGCATTTTGCCAGATGTTAAATCTTTTGATATATGCATATATAGAGAGTATATTTGTGTATATACATAATGTTAATATTGGAATGTAACATGTGGAAGTCAAAATGTAAATTTATACAAAAAATATGATAATCATTTCGCAAACGGCAGATAATAAAATGAAGATTAATCCTTTTCTACCAATATAAATAACTTTAATCTCAGTTTAATCTATTGTTTATTTTTTTTTATATATAGTTATATATAGTTTTATATATAGTTATAAGAATTAGAGAAAAAGATAAGGAGTAAATTAAATTGAGATTAAAATTAATCTACATTGGCAGAAATAGACATAAATTTTGAAAAGGGAAATCTGGTTTAAGCTTTCCCGATTGTTCAATACAACATGAATTTTGCAATAATCGCATCGCAATAGATTAGTACATTTGTACGCGCCATAGTAATTATGCGATATGTTAAGAGGAGAAATTACATTTTATAATCTTATTTTTGTAATAAAATGCGCCGTTCGAACTACGTTTATAAAATAAAGGAAAATGTTATCAGTTCTCTATCAAGTTTATGAATTGCCGTATTTCATCCTATACATCATATATCTCTATAATTAAATTACTTTGCAAACTTTGGTCGACGACACAATTCGAGCCTTCTAGAAATGTGCATTTTTCATTCTACTTGCGAGAGAGATTCTAATAAAATCATTCTACTTACCATAGAGTGAGTGAGTAAGACAGAGAAAACGACGATCATTATTGGATTAATAAAGCCGTCGTTTTCTCTAGCAGAGTAAACCGAATTTCCAGATTTTATTTAATCTCGTCTCACTCTCTGTGGAATAGAATGATTGACCCGGACGAGATGGCGAGAATATTAATCAGGATACATCTTTCTTATTCACGTCGAAGCTACGCGAACATCTTTATCGCGGTCTGCAATAGATATATATTGAAATTATTATCAAAAAACAACGAATCGAAAAAAATTTGCATGATTAAGGGAAGATATATACAAGAAAATTCTTCGCTTATATCTGCGAAATTAACAATTAACAATTTCGAAGAATTTTGAACCTTTCAATAATGTGGGCTTCAGTGCAGATTTTTATATTGTCTTGAATTGTTTAGATCTGAAAAAATTTCTGTATATTTGTGAAAGCTTTAATAACGAATTTTTACTATCGTAAAAATCGGATTGTATTTCACTTATTTGTTACAAATTTAAATTTATCAAAATTTACAAAATATCGACTATGTTTTTAAAGTTCAAGTTTGCCGACGAAGTATTAAAAATAGCGCAAAATGATATTCCTGACTGTAAACAGAATAGAAAATTACGGAGACTGCGGTTCAACTGGCGTTCCTCTTTATCACCAACGACCACCGACATGCTTTGTTGAGGGACCAGACATTCAGTCGTCGCGGCCTGGACCCCCGGCGTGGCGAATCGTTGCCGTATCACGAGATTTTAAGGATAGGCGCGATTCGAATACCGTGCACAAAAGTCGCGCAAGGTCTCAGCGAAAAAGCACCCGCGCTCGTGTGGGTGGACTTTTATAGCGGTTGATTACCTGATTTATAATCTCAGTTCGCGCAGGGACTCATCCGAGGCTTGGCGACGGCAGTCGGGTTTTCGATCGAGCCCGCAAATCATTATCGCGTTTTAGAGATGTAGAATATTCTTTCTTCGATTCTGACTTGCCGAATATCGATATTTGAATAGTATCCGAGGTAAAGCATGAAATTTGATATTTATCTAGTATATTTACAATTAGGAAAAAACATTGATAGCAATGATATAAGTAACAACTATACAAGTTTTCTATTACATGGAAAGAACGATTTTTTGCTGAAAGATATAAAATTTTGTTGGATATAAATTTGAAAATAATATTGAAAACTCAAACTAATTACTAGAATAACAAAATTTTGCGCAGCAAAATTTTGATTGTATCATAATTTTTTAATTTCTAACATAATTATTTTGATGGTCCAACTAAATTATTTTCAAATGTGTGTCCAGCAAAATTGTTCTTTCTGTGTACAAATTAAACAACAGGTCATGATAATGTCAAATGCCGTTAAAATAAACAGTAATTGATTGAAAAGTGCTTTTTAATAATTATTTTGAAATTATTTTGATATCCTCGTGACTTTTTGTTTAACTTAAGGAGGGTAAGGACATAAAACATATATATTAAATTTACGCTTTAAACAAACTACTTATATATAAAAGTTGTTTATAACATTCTGTTTTTATTAAGCAATACATTTTTATAGATTATTTATTTTATTTGATATTAGTTTCATTGTTATAAACAAAAATTTTTTAAATAATAACAAAAATTTAAATCTTTTATACAAATATTTGAAGTATTAAAAATGACTTATGCAAAGTTTCATTCAGATTCATTAACAAATAAATATGTTTGTTTATTTACTAAACAATTAATGTTCACATTTCAATAACTTTACATAAATATTTTTAGATTCATAAAGTACTTATAACAAAATAGAGATTTTATTATTATTTTGTAATTCATTTTCATATATTTCTATTAGAGTATAAATTTAAAAAATATTACTTTTTATTGAAATAATTTTTGAGATGAGTCAACTGTCTCTAATTTTTTTATATTACTTTTGAATGCAGTTTAGAATAATCTGTAATTTGTTCAAGTAATTCTTAACTTATTGCATTTGCCTTACAATTTCTTTAAATGTATGTAGAAATAATATATACAGTTGAATAACTTATTTTATGATTATAATTTATTATTTATTCAATTATCTACATTTATTTTACATATAAAATTTGTACAATTATCACCTATATAGTTACCATTATCTCACCATCATATCTTTTTCTTTAAATGTATCGAGATTATGTCTGATATATTTGATGTACGGATGACAAGTAGTACGACCATAATAGTGACCTGATGGCAATCAAAGTCTAATGAAGAATAAGAGGATCCAGGAGCCGCGGGCTCTATAAAATCGTACAAAAACTAGGCGACAGTAGATACCTATACCTATACAAACCATAAACACGCCCCCCCTCATTAGGGGGTCGAAGCTTGAAATTTACTTTGGTCATCCCTCTCGCCGCCATTTCTCAGTTAATCAGAGATCGCGGATTTTATGATCGTTGATGCGATCGTTAAAGAATATACGCGCCAGGAAGACGGCTGCCGTCTTCTGGTAGTCAGGACAACGTCGGGGATTCATCAGAGTTCGCGTATCGCCCGAGGATAGACCCTCGTTCTTTTTATTAAAGCGGAATCCGGGGTCGAAACGATTCTCGGTGATTACACTATATTCTCTATTTATGATTACGAAAATATAATAGAGAGAAACACATCTAAAGAATCCACTCTAAAAGTGTGTCGTCCGATACGTGCGATTTAATGCTTTTTAATGCATTTGTTTTTACAAACGTTGGAAATTATGAAAGTACACGAAAAAAACGATTTTGTTGAAATTATAATTTTAAAATTTCGGAAAAAAAATCTTTTTTCTATTTTTCTGCTGATTTTCTCGGTTTTTTTTCGGATAGAAAAATTTGTTGGAAAAATTTATATGTGTTCGTAAGATCTGTCATATTTGCTTCTTTCCGAAAAGAAAATAATTTTTTAGTTTTCTTTCTAATTTGAAAAATTATTGTAATTTGAAAAAGACGACTTCTTTTAAAATTATAGTTCTATCCTAGTTCTAGAAATATCTAGTTAAAAAAATTAGCTAAATACAGATCTGAAAAGAATCCTTCTAATTGTAAGATGCCTACAAACAAAATTTTTAAATTACTTGTGATATTACTACTTCGGGTTTAGGGTTATATTTCAAGACCGACAAATAATCGGCACATAACTTGAAAATAAATTCACAAAAGAAATATGATTAGACATTTAGACACGAAGAATTGCTTTGATCGAATATGATCTTTTTTACTTATGCGTATTTAATATATCTCATCAGTCGATTTTCTTTTAATGTTGAAAAGAATTTTGTTGATCAAAATAATTATGTTAATAATTCAAACATGATGAGCAATGCTGTAAAAATTTTTACTATTCTAATAATCATACATAGTTACGTGAATAAGTCAATTATTAAAATAGCCTTAATATTATACTTATATTATACCTATCTTTATTTTTCAGTGCTTTTTAATGCGCCGAAATATCTTAACAAAATTAAGATAATCTATTGACTTACCGTATTTTTAATAAAATAATTTTCAGATCTGTATCTAACTACATTTTTAGATATTTCATATATTTATATTTAAAAAGTGCAGTTCTTTTCATATAAGATTGTTTGCGAACTCTTTACACGAGGATCCGAGAATTCTAGTTACGCCACTGGCGCGGGGCTCTCGAATTTGTGTTGAATTCACGAGTTACCAGATCTCTCCCACGTCAGCCCGAGGAGGTGACACACGAAGCCATAGGGTTGACGAATGTGCCAAGATCGGCCGAGGATGACTCGGCAGATTGTTGTTCGCCAGCGTTCCCAGCGGTGGTCCCGATGCGCCTGCATACAGCTTTGGATTGATGGATCCTGACCTCTCAAAGGAGGGCTTCGGCACGCCTTTCGGAAGATGATAGATTCGTGTGCGACCTAATACGGACTGGGGAATCGCGAGAGGGAATATACCGATCGGTCCACCACCAATCTATCCTGTTTCGCTTGTGCTGAAAAGCTTTCGATTCTCGATCCTTCCAGCGTCCGAAAAATTTTTACAGCGTCTCGGCAATCATCAGATGATAGCATAACTTTGACTCCATTTAATATTATAGAAAAAACCTTGCAACTAGCTGTTATAAGATTTCATGCAGCAGAAGTACATTTAGATTCAACAAAAAACTAATAAGGATAAAAACCAATCATTAAAGAATCTCATATACAATATAGGTCACAACATTGCAG